GGCCCCCAGTGCCCCCCCCCCCCCCTAGAAATTCCTTAGATGTGCGCCCCTGACCATATACTGTATAGACAACGTGTTAATTTGGGTAACTTTGAAAACTGTAGCATAGTAATTAGCGAATTTACTGTGTGTATCAACTAATATAAGAATTTGTTGAAGAAAATCTACGTACGTCGCTGTGAAGAAAACCTGAACTACTTTAAACTATAACGCATTAGATAGCTTTACCAGCACTTTCTATATTATTATATAGATGTCTAGTTGAAAAACCTGCTTGTATTTAAACGAACGCATTTTCTCATACACAATCATCTTCTATTCACACATTTTGTGGCATGAAGTACCGAAATTATGTTGCAATGAGAAATTGAGAATGCAAATCTCACCATACAACTTTGCCGTCGACGTGACGTCATTATAAGATTGCGTATTAGTTGAATGTTACAAAAGAATAAATATGTCATTAATATTCGCTGCGTTATGTGAGCAACACCTGCAATTAAAATAGAAAATACTTTGCCCTTCATTTGGGATTGTTTCAAATGTTCACAACGAACTTAGATACATTGAACTGAACCCAATTACACTCAAGATGTACTTTAACATATGGCTCATGACTTTTAATGATTCTTGGCAAGATTAAAATGAATAAAAACACGTCCAGTATTATGACGTGTATCTGTAACAACTGCATTAGTCCATAAGTTATTCCTGACCTTCACAGTTCACAATGACTTTCAATTCATACGTTTTTCTAGTTGTTTTTTCAATCTCTTATTTCGATTAATAACTCTGAAACGTCCCTTAATTTTAAACAGAACGGAGCTTGGTGCTTAGAAATGAGCATATAATCTATTTAGAAGGTAAAATACGATCTTATCGCTGCGCATGATCATGCATGAATGAAGAAATGTCGTGTTTATCGCAAGCGTTCGCAATAGAATGGATTTAAAACATTCATGCAGTTATGATAAAAATATATAAACATCATTGAATCTATGAAAAGCTTGGATTCCGTGATGGGGGAAATGAAAGCCTGACACAAAACCCTTGGCATAAGATTCTCTTAAAATAACAGCCAATCAGGTTTATTTCCCGTGATAGTACTCGAGGAGCCGATATCGATATTCAGGCTAATGATCAACTGTTGCCCTTTGAAGTCAATGAAGTGATATCAACACAATAGTGAACATTGTGACAGGAATAAGTACTTGTACATTAAGTGGACAAAATTTCTCTGTTATATCCTGCAGTAGTCACATCGCCGATATTGTGATGTTACGTTATCGATGTGTCAGGGCAGTTTGCCAGATTACAATCGCAGCCAATTTCGGTCATTTCCCCTCCCTTCATGGACTTATTCACACTATGCCTAATTCTTAATAACTTTTACAGGAAACAAAATCTTCATGAGGAGAGACTGATAACTTATGTTAGTGTTAAAGACGACTGCATTTTCTTTAAAAATCCCTTCTGAAAGCATTGAAATATTTTTGACCTGATTTCCGCAACTTAAAAGCAAATAGTTGCTATTTCGATCAACCGAGCATCATCGTATTAAAACATGAAATGAAAGTTACTCCAGCCAATATAAAGTAGGTACGCCAAGTGTATATTAAAAATCCGGGTATTAAAAATGCTTAAGAATTTTGTTTCGTGCATGTCTGTGAAATCTACATGTTGAAATTTTAATTGAAGCTGTGCGCTAATAGTAGTTTTCGGCGAAAATTACAGTACGCAAATTTTAGTCAAAAAACAAACGGTCAAACTGCAATGTTCACGAACATTTTTGATCGCAACGAACAAGTTGGTTTTTTGACTAAATTTTCATGCAGGAAATGTCTAACGTCGGTCACCAAAACGTCATACCAAATCCGTCCCACTTTTAAGTGGAACCTTAATACCAAACCCGTTCCACTTTTAAGTTTTTTTTTTTTATTTATTTAAATAATACCCTCGAGTTCAGCATAAAAACAGGCAGTGGCAGTGGTGGAAATTCAGTGAACTTAGAACTTCACTTACGCTAGCAAAGTTGTTTGGTGCGTTTGCAAAACCAAAGGTAAGTATACTAGTTTTGTAATAATTCGTATGTTTTATGTTAAATGAGTACTGATTGAGGATGATTTTCGTTATTGTAGGAACGAAGTCTGTTTTGTAATTAGTAATGTACCGTTCCATTTTGTTCGGTTACACGTTTATCTGTATTATTCTCGTAAGCCTAAAATCAGCGAATAGTTTGGATATCATTGTGTAATCTGGTGGCCGGACAGTTTGCCGAAAGACACTTTGCCGAAAGACATTTTGCCGAAAGACATTTTGCCGAACGGATATTTTGCCGACAGACGTTTTGCCGAATGGATGTTTTGCCGAACGGACATTTTGCCGAACGGACATTTTGCCGAACAGACATTTTACCGAACGGACAGTTTGCCGAAAATAGAGATATCTTCTGAACTTTATAGGTTTGCTTACACGGTCAAAATTTCTGTGATTAAAGTCATTGGCGATTTTGTGATGACAGAAACTTTGATAGTGAAGATAGTTTCGTTTTATATTTTTTCAAGTTTTTGACAAGTTTACCGAAATTTCGCGATAAAAAGAATAACATTCAACATCATTCATGAATGCGATTTCCCCGAAAACTGCGAATGTATTCCATGATTCTCGAAGTGAAATTCGCTTACGTCGTTGTCTTCGTATACGCTTGTTTGTTTACGACCTGACGTCAAAACACGTTTCTAGCAAATGAGTCATCCGTTGCACAAACAAGCTACCAATAGTCAATATGGTTATGTTCTGCTAACGACCATTATGCACTGCTAATGACCATATAATGGTTATTTTACATAAAGGTTGGGAATTACAAAGTTGAGAAATGAGGCACAGTCCCAAACATTTTGACGAAATAGCGTCTCTATTTTCGGCAAGTTGTCCTTTCGGCAAACTGTCCATTCGGCAAAATGGCCGTTCGGCAAAATGTCTTTCGGCAAAATGTCTTTCAGCAAAGTGTCTTTCGGCAAAATGTCCGGGTACCGTGTAATCTAACTCCTCACATTTTCCCAAATGAGCTGTTCTGGATATAAAATGATATAGTTTTAAAACTGTCGTAAAATGTCTATGTATTCTGTGTGCAAACATGTCTATGTGTTTTGTTTGTGTTAAAAATATTATATGCAGTATATATAAAACATTATTTGTATTGTACTAGCATGTAAAGAACATCAGCAGATCGCGTTTCAAAACTTGCACCGGCTATAATTCTTGCAGCCCGCTTTTGGGATCTCTGAAGTTTATCTTTGAGTTGTTTGCTGTAAACTCCCCATAAGGGAGAACAGTAATCAAAATAGGGCTGTATTATCGCTTGGTAAATTGTTTGTAAGGTGTTGGCAGGGACGAAAGGTTTAATACGCTTCATCATTCCTATACCTGCCGCGACCTTTTTACAAATCACTGCAATATGTTCATTCCATTCAAGAATTTCGTCCATGCAGTTTCACTCCAAGACAGGTAAATGACCTCTCACGAGGAACCAGCTGGTTATTTAATATAACTACGGGAAGATCATCATTCATAATTTTGAGGTTATAACTCGATCCTATATATACATTACTTTCATTTTTGTTGGATGGTGTTGTAATTTATTTCTAATTAGCCATTCTCTGAGTTTGTTCATATCATGGTTTATATTTTCAGTAAGTTTTTCTAAGTCTTTCGCTGCCGAAAAAATCTGAGTATCATCTGCATACAAGCAAGGGGTGGTTTTATCAAGATTCAAGACAATCTGGTACTAAGACATTAATGTACAGTAGGAGCAGTAAGGGACCCAGGATTGATCCCTGCGGAACACCACAAACGATCTTTTTGTGTGTAGATGTAAATCCATTAACTAAACACACTTGTTCTCTGTTAGTTAAATAGGATGAGAACCAATCTAGTTCAACATTAGTTATTCCAAATTGCACTTTCATTTTATGCAACAAAATGGTATGGTTAATTGAATCAAAGGCTTTCCGGATATCGAGGAAAACGACCCCATTCAATTCACCATTGTCCATGTTTTCATATAATGTATCACACATCTGAATAAGTACGGTAAGAGTCGAGTTCTTTGGCCGAAAGCCTGACTGGTATTTAGAAAGAAGAGAATTATCATTAAGAAATTTATATATCTGATTGAAAACAGATCTCTCAAGTATTTTACTAATGATAGGTAGAATCGAAATTGGGCGATAATTTTCGCATTTTTGTCTATTGCCAGATTTATAGATTGGTACTACCCTAGCCTTTTTCCATTCATCAACATAGATTCCCGTTTTAATGGAAAGATTAAATATCCATGTTAATGATGGTCCAATAATATTTGCAGCTATTTTAAGAGCCTTTGCTGGAATGTTAAGCCTGGCGCACACGATGCGATTTTAGTCGGCCGATAAAAATCGTTTGACTAAAACTAACAAAATCGTTGTGTGTGCGGTGTCATTTTTAACCGATTTTTGTTGCTCGATTTTAATCGGACAACATCAAAATGTTTTGATATTATACGATTTTTATCGGTGGAACTTTAAGTATAACCAATCAGATTTCATGCTGTGATTACGTGCTTGTATTTATTTGGCAACATGGCGGCTACAGTTCAATCGTGTGCGGAGTATACCGATGTATATCGGTATGTCAAACGATTTTTATCGGCCGACTAAAATCGCATCGTGTGCGCCAGGCTTTATCGATGCCTGTCGATTTTGATATTTTTAGATTAGCTAACTGATGAATTACTTCATCAGGGTGGATTTCAGAGAAATTGAATAAAATGTCTTGACGAGGATTTTGATAATAATTTGCACTGTTACCCGAGTTCACATTCATGGACTCATATTCAATTTCAGAGGCCAGTGTAGTCCCAATGTTAACAAAAAATTCATTGAAAGTCTCTGCTAACAATTTATCATCAGAAATAGTTGTTACATCATCAATTTTCAGCTGGGAAATATTATTCGATTTCCTATTTTTACCCAAAAGATCATTAATAAGTTTCCAACTCTGTCCTGGATCTTTAGACTGCGCACATTCCTCAAATTTGTTGCAGAAAAACGTTGTTTTGGCTTTACGAATTTCTGAGTTAACTTTATTTCGAAGTTCTTTGTATTTTAATTTATCTAATGATTTTGGGTATTATATTTAACAGCTCTCCCTTTATGAAGGTCTCTTAGCCTCATCAGGCCCCTGATATTCCAGGACATCCAGGAAAATTTTCGATTATTAACATCGAAAATTTTGTTCTATACGTCAACCCGTTTAAATAAGTAAATTGATTGAGCTTGCTTATAGCTTCAAGCTGAAAGATATTCCAAAGATAAGCACCGCTATATATATTTAAAGCTTCTTTTGAGAAATTCTCTGTTTGACTTTGAAAGGGCCAGATCATTCTGAGAATTCCTAAGATTATAATTATTTAATAAGGTATTCCTACTTATGAATCAATATTTCAGAGTTGGTGCAGTACTATTACTCAAGACGTTATTAACATAAGAATAGGGCCATTTATACGGGACAAAATAAGTCGCGACTTACATAAGACGCGACTTAAATAAGCGGAGTTATCGCATAAATGGTTCTCTACGGCTTTGGTCTTATTTATTTGCTATAGCTATAATGTTGTTTTGTTTGTTTTTGTTTTAATATGCAAGGCTAATAATTTTACGTTGTTTCAAGTTTCTGGCATGTGTAGTTAGACTTTTTGTCCAAAATTTCTTATTTAAGATGCGACTTAGATAAGAACAGCTAAAAGGCCTGTTCTTATGTAAGACGCGTCTTATCCAAGACGCGTCTTACATAAGAATTTTGTACCTTTTATACGAGAAACTCGCGTCTTATTTAAGTCGCGTCTTATGTAAGTCGCGTCTTATTTTGTTCCGTATAAATGGCCCTAATGTTGCCTTGGTTAACTACCATCTTATAATGTTTCCACTAAATTTTCCCAGTCAAGAGATCGAAGAACGTCAGCAGATCTGATCTCATAACTGGCTCCAGCAATTTGGGAACTTTTGTAAAAGTATCTCTCATGCAGTGTTATGATACAGACTCTCCCAAAGGGGAGATCGAGCATAGTAATCGAAGTAAGGCTGTATCAGAGGATTATAAATTGATATAAATGTGTTTGCAGGAACATATAGGGCTTGATACGCTTTAAAATTCATATGCCCGCTCCGACTTTTTTGCAAACCATTTCGATATGTTCGTCCCAATTCAATGTTTCATTAAGTTTAACTCCCAAACACCGGAATGTGCAGCATTCTGCATGGGAATCAGTTCATCATTAATCATTACGGTTATGATTTGATCCAACATACATTAATTTTTGTTGAATGATGCTGCAGTTTGTTTTTGACCAGCCATTGACTAACATTGTTTAAATCATGATTTAAATTATAGGATTAAGTTCTACGCAGTCTTTCGCAGATGAAATGTGAATCGCACTGTTTGATGCAGTATGATTAAGTCACCAAAAGACTCCAGTACCAAAAAGTTAATATTTCTGAGCACATTATATAACTTAGAGCAATTGATCAAGGAGCCAACTAGAGTCACAAGCACATCATCATCTTTAATTGATCTAGTGTTCACCAATAAACCCAATAACATTTCTACAGTGGTGGCGCCAGGGGGGGACAAGGGGGGG